ACTGGAAGCTATGATGGTTACTATGCAACAAAGTATGATGGAATTTATGTCCTTCATGAAAACGATAATGTAAACACTGGTTCCAAACCAGAAAATGGTGTTACAGTTCCCATTCGCCAGTGCTAATAACTCTTCTTTAAAGCCCAGAAACTACAGATCTCCCCCAGAGACTGACTTCGCACAGAACAAACTGGTTAAAATATAAAAAGTATGTAATTTCCCATATCGAAGCGGACATCGACTGCTCCACCGATGCTCTGGAAGGTGTACTCGTGGCAGTAGCCACTATTTCAACACCACAATTGAAACAACCATTTCAAAACTAATCTGCAATTGGAAAAGCTACAAAAAAGGCGTCTGCGACGTGCTTGGCAAAACAACGTCTTAAGAAGAAGAAGAAATACTCTAAAAACGCACAAAACATCCTCTGTGGAGGGCTCACCCAAATCTGAGCTCTCCAATCGAAACAGTCACTCCGATAAGAGGTAGCTGGGCCGGAACGACGAAGATAGAGCAAAAACTTAGTACTTGGGCTTGATTTTGGACAAATGACTTACGTGGAAGCAGCACAAAACGAAGGTAACAGCAGCATGTCGAAACTAAATTGGATGCTTAAAGGAACAAGTAAACTCAGCCTCAGCAACAAGATGTTGCTGTATAAGTCGATTGTAGTTCCTTCAATGACATATTGCATTCAAACATGGGGTGCTGCTTCAGACTCAAATGACATGAGGGTCCAAAGAGTGCAAAACCGGGCGCTACGTACAATTACGAATGCACCGTGGTATGTAAGAAACGAGGTCCTAGCTAGCGATCTTCACATCCCCACGGTGAGAGAGCAGATCAATATGCATTCTAGCCGCTACAATGACCGTCTACTAGCCCACACCAACCAACTATTAGCATCCTTGGCAAATCATACTACCAGAAGAAGACTTTTCTGTGCCAAGTAGATTAACTGGAAATGATATCCCCCTAATACTAAATCATTGTAGATCTAACTATGCCTTGCATGAGCCTTTCAGAGTTTTATGTTCTGACTAAATATACTTTTTCCTATAATCTCAAATCTTGACACTCTTTCGCTCCTAAACCGATTAATACTGACTTCTTTGGCACAAAATTGATCTTACTATTACTTTTTCCCCTGACTTTTACCTATATTTTCTTTTATCGCGTCTATCTTATCGCGAACCGTGCCGAACGATGCTCGGCTGCGCCTCTCGGTCGGTTGGGCGGGAAAGTGGTCCGTGGGTCTCCGCGCGAAAAAAAAAAACTCAACTTCTAAAGCCGAACAAGGCAACTGGGCATAACAGTGAGGATGGAAAAGTGGCCAAAGCCTTGCTAGTGGCAGTTATATCGTTTTTAACAGGCATCTTTAATGCCATGATAGGTCTATCATATTACCCAGAACAGTGAAAGCACGCGACTGTTGTTATGATCCCAAAGAAAGGAGACTCCCCCTGTTTTGACCGTAAGTCTATTGCCGACCTTCTCCAAGACTTTCGAACAAATTCTTCTAAAACAGTTTTTTAATATTGATTTATTTCAGGGTGCAATCCGGACTACTAGCTTTCTTTCAGGAGTCTGCATAGTGCTGCTGAACAGGCCTTTGAGACGAAAAAATGTTGTTGTTGAGTATACTTGGATGCGAAGCAATGTATCTTTGTGACACTGCTTGTAACACCTCCATAGAAGTAATTGAATCATGCTTCTCTAAAATTGTAACACCAATTATTAGTGCGCCTTACTTTTCCCGAAACTACACTATATTTCGAGATCTAAAAAAGAATCATGCCTGTAAATCTATCACTTATACTGCCAGAAGTTACAAACCAAGACTTCTCTCACATACAAACAGACATGCCCTGACACTATCCAGATCCATGAACAGAAGAACACTGAAAAGGTGGCACCCATCTGACAATTGGTTATTTAGGCGGATACTCATTCCAACCTTTGAATACTACAAAGTGTGAAGGTGAATTGAGTTTCGTAAGGTACACTTTTAATAAAACCTTTGGTTTTGGGTATCAAAAAATGAATTAAATGGTATGTGATATGAACGGCTGTTCTTTGTTTTGATTGCGAAACGGAACGTAAAAAATATCATTGGCAATCAGCCATATTTCGGCCACCATTTATTTCCGGTAGGGAATCTATCTGCTCTCCTGCAAACCATTTGGAGTTTCCGTGAACGTCGCTTACTCCTCTCTGTGCTTCTGCTCTTTGGTTTCCATTGAGAAAAATTTGGAAAAGTGTTTCAAAGCTAATAGCCTCTTCCCATAAAGTCCATCCGTTAGAAACGGTTGGGATTTTAGACAAATGTGAAACTCCGATTCCCACAGAGCACATCCACCATTCACCATCCAATAACAGCTGATCTGAACAGCTGTGGCTCATCATTTTAGCACGTTGCATTTTGCACAACATTTAAAATGAGCACAGCAGCGTTATAAATGATACTTGGTAACAGACTGCAAGTGATCTACGCTAACAACTAATATGTCTGAAGATTTTTGCCAGCCTGCAGAAAAAATATGAACCACTTTTGCCAATATAGTCTAAATGGTAACAAATCAAGTTCATTAAATATTTGTTTGTTTTTTGTTTTATTATAATTATATATTTCATTTTATTTTTAATGTCTAGGATGGCAGACAATTAGTAATTGTAAACCGCGAATATATGTCTGGGGACATACTCTCGTTCTCCAAGGTGTTATGTTCCATGTGGTGACTACGGTATGCGCCTAGGAAAGAGTGGAGCAACTCTTAAGGCTGCCACACGGATGGATCAGTAATTAATTTATTATTACAAGTATGAACAGAATTTTTTGATTTGCCGCCTTCCTTTTTGAAAAGTTACCCGCCATTTTTTTTTAATTTTCGGAGTGAATGTTTCAATTTTCACTGTCAAGAAGAAGAATTCAGAGTTGCTCCGAAAAAACATCGCCTAACTATCGCATAAAAAAGTCAGTCAAATTTGGATAGGGAACTAACTGGGAATTTTCGGAACGGCAAAACCTTATGGACCATCCGATCAACGGATGGTGGATGGTGGATGGATCTCTGTCACCCCGTTGGCTTCTCCAGTGGGACTCCTCCAGCACTTCCACTCTTCGGTCGCTTGCACTTTAGGTGGTATTTATAGCTGTCCCGCAGCGACTTCCACGCCAGCTTGCAACTTTTATCTAAACAATAATATTGTATAAGTCCACGTTAGCAAATATTTAATAACGTACAATTATGACTTACTATCTTTATCCATTTCCCATTAAAATGTTTTTTATTTGACAAGCCCCACAATTCTGGGAGGGACTCCACAGATCGTATTAATGTTATTTTGTCCTCACAAGTAAACTCCTGCAAATTGACTTTTGCGGGTTTTTGATTTTTTCCCTCCATTTTTTAAAATGTTCAGAGAGAAGCGCACGCCAAAAGATTAAATTTTGAATTCTTTTCGCTGGGGTTCACCCAAAGTTAATTTCAGCAGACTGGCAACGCTATAACGTTTTCTGGTATTTTTCGTGGATCTGAGTACCGAGGTGAAAAAAAGGATGATGAAAAGTGTACGCCAGCTGTTTGCCTCTCGCTCTCTCTCATGACTGACGAACAGTTTTCGTTGATCTGAGTACTAGGCTTAAACTATCAAATATAAAATATAATAAAAACAAGAAAGGAAAGCTAACTTCGGGCGGAGCCGAAGTTGATATACCCTTGCAGAATATTCTGTAAATTTTCTGTAAAATAAAACCAATAAAAAATCACAACTTCCTAACTTTAAAAACACCAAAGTTATTGCATTTCCGATCGTTCAGTTATATGGCAGCTATATGATATAGTTGCCCGATCTGGCTCGTTCCGACTTATATAGTACCTGCAATAGAAAGACAACTTTTGGGAAAGTTTCAAGCAGATAGCTTTAAAACTGAGGGACTAGTTTGCGTAGAAACGGACAGACGAACGGACAGACGGACATGGCTAGATCGACTCTCCAGGTGATGCTGATCAAGAATATGTATACTTTATAGGGTCGAAAGTGTCTCCTTCACTGCGATGCAAACTTTTGACTGAAATTATAATACCCTCTGCAAGGGTATAACAAGAAAGAAAGCAAACTTCGGCAAGCCGATGTTTATATACCGTAATTTCAAGCCCAAAGAACAAAAAAAATGTAAAACAAAAAGTTATACTGAATTGACTGAGATACAGGCAATCTCCGGCGGCGCCTCGAAGAAAAGATGTTTTGCGGTGTACACGATAACCGGTCAAAGAATCATCCGAAATGAAAAAATCCAATTGCATTAGTTAAAGAACAAGATTCCTCAGGTAACACTGTCGACTTTTTATTTTTTTTTATTTTTTTTCGATTTGTAAGGCACTTGAAAGTCAAAAACACCGATTTTCGCCTAAAACGTCGAGATATTTGTTGCTCTAAAAATAATAAATTATCAAAAAAAAAAACTCGACAGCGTTTCCTGAGGAATTTAGTTGAGAACAACTGTGCAAAATTTCAAAACGATCCGTCCTATAGATTTTGCAGGATCGTGTACACCGACTTTGAAAAGGGTAACATTTCAGGAGAGCGTTTTCAAGTTTTGGACACCCATACACAACGAGCTAACTTACCTACGTTCAACTGCCAATAAGTTCGGAAGCTTTACTCGGATCGATCTAAAACTTTAACAAAATATTCTCAAAATGTTGTACATTAAAAAAAAAAAAAATGAAAAAAAAAAATTTAAATACTATACCCCCCCTTAAGACGGAGGCACTAGTTTACGTAGAAACTGACGGATGGACATACGGATGGACAGACGGACATTCGGATGGACATGGCTAGATCGACTCTCCTGGTGATGCTAATCAAGAATATATACACTTTAGATGGTTGAAAATGATTACTTTAATGCGTTGCAAACTCTTGACAGAAATTTTAGTACCCTCTGCAAAGTTATAATAAGTTGACGCCCGATTCCATCAGATAAATACAATTGGTTTGAAATAATTTTAAATTTATATTTCAGAGTATGCGCATTTTGATTTGATTGCATTGTTGAAGTTGAAAATTAATTATGTTAGCGGGAAATAATGTTGTGACGATTGTACATTTTTATATATTTTTTATATACATACAACACATTTTGTGAACTTTTTTAAAAATTTGTATTTAAGATAATATCACCAGCATAATAGATACACCAGCATTACGAAATAGCGGCTTACTGCCGGAATAGGAATACTATTAAGTTATTTTAATAACATAGTAATATGTTTACCAAGTATGCACACATGTCGTCCAATATCGAAAGTAATCATGGAAATCTACGGCTAAGTGAATATATATGTATATAAGCTTATGTATTTTAGTGGCTTCTATTTAACTACGTTCGAGTATTTGGACGCATACAAATTTGACATTTACATATGGATCTATTTAAGTTTGTATATTTTACAAATATTAAACGATACTAACTACTTTTTTGTATACACCTAAGCTTGGGTGTATTTCTATGGCTACAGCATTGGTGCGTAAATGGCACAAAAATTGCATGGTTTCACAAATTAACTATATATATATATATATATATATATATATACGTGTAATGGCACTTGAACTGAAACTTAATGGCTAATCAAACAGTGACTATCCTAGCCGTTTTTGCATTTACAAAGCCGATTTTATCTTTTTAATATCCCTCCATTATGTGTAAAGAACCGACACGATCTGAAGGTGAGTCACTATCGTGTTCTTGGCTTTTGTTGTTAGTCGTCATCCTAGTCGTCCAGCTCGCGCTGGGATGCTAGCTCCACTTCATCGGAAGAAAAGCCAGAAGGTGATAAGCTTTCTGGAGGATAAAAGAACTGCTGAGATGGCGTGTGCACACAATCATTGCCATGAACCGAAGAAGCTGCTGTAGATGACATATCCTGCAAATGGTAAACAGCTGCAGCGGCCGCAACAGCAGCCTGGGCATTCGATCCCCCGGAGTGTCCCTTGGGACAGGCATCGGCGCAGGCATTTCCCGAGACCGCAGAAACTCCGCCTGTGCGGCACCATAGTTGCCTCATTTCAGCCCGCCGATTACGCATCAGAACCTTGTATTCGGAAATTCGCATCTTTTTGCCATCCACAATGCAGGTTCGCTTGGGTCGTGGTCTGTAGCGATAGTCTGGATGCTGTTCCATGTGAAGCTTTGATAGCCTTGACTGTTCCTCGTAGTATGGCTGCTTGTCGGCATTAGACATTGCTTTCCAGCGAGCGCCAAGAATTTTCGATATATTCGAGTTGTGCATGTCTGGGCATGCTTTTAATATCTTTCTGCGCTCATCTTTTGCCCACACCATGAACGCATTCATGGGCCTCTTTATGTGCGGTTTGCTGTGCCCGTGGCCTTGCCCGTGGCTTTGTCCATGACCATTGCCTTGCCTAAGCGGATGTGATGATGGCGACGCAGATATAGGGCCGAGTTGACCTGCAGTGATACTTTCTGGGTCCAATGCCGCCGAACGTTCCGAATTCGTTCCACAACTATTTATCGAGTCGCGACTCATTCGCGTTGCCCGTGATCCCCCAGAACCGACGACCGCCGAGTTCCACACTCTCCCCTGGAAAGGAAAAAACAAGAAATAAGTCCATGTTAGTACAATAAAAGAAATATAATTAAAAAATTTATTAATATTATTTTTATTATCAGTTAAATATTCCAGATCATTATTAAAAGAGGAGCCTTTTCAGTCATTTAAGCTATATATCGCGATTTTCCTGAAACTGCTTTTTTGAAACCACCATGAAAGCCGATTTTATTCAAATATTTTGTAATATAGTTCTGTTTGAATTAACAGTATAATTCGATTACATATCTAGTTTCAAGATATGAATCATCCCAATCCAATGTTTGGAACTCTTTGAATCATAGAAGCACATTATAGAATATAACAAAAACCAAAATATCAAAAACGAATGCTTTATTAAGTAAAGTCAATTAAATTATTTTTGTTTGGTTTTGAATATTACTACAATTGGACTAAACAACATATATGGAATGATGTAAGAACAATATTTAATCGAAAATAAAAAAAGGTTACTCACGTGATTCTTTAAAAGGGGCGACTCTATCTCGGCATAATGCTGTTGCCCTTGATGCCAGCTAAGGGGTGGACTGGATACAATGGGCGTAAGGCTTTCGCTGTGATCCCTTTGACAAGAGCTGTTCGGCGAAGAACTCGGCGATCCCTTTGGCTTGGTAAGATTTAGGGGAGCGTCCATTTCAGAGTCTTGGGCTTCCGACAGGCTCGCCATACTGTGGTTGTCTGTCGGCGATGGTGGAAAATTCTTGGAGCAGTCAACTGTTCGGCCGTGTGGCGACTCCGGGGGTGTATTGTGGCTATAAGAGAGGATTGCATAAGGTGGGTTCTCATATGCTGGGGACTCCGGCCTTGACAAGCAGGCCCCTTCATTCCCGCCCCTTTTCATTTCTCCGATCTCCATTAGCGGCAAAGAGGCGGAAGAATCTGCCCCTGATGGCTCATTCGCAGTGGTCGATGCAGCGAGTACATTGTTGTTGTTGGAAAAACTGTTGTTTTTATTATTATTGGCAGCTGCTACTGCTGCCGCCGCCAGAGCGGCCTGTATGTGCGCAGCCGCAACAGCCGCAGTGGACCACATAGGAGCTAGTGCCATTTTGTGTGCGCTGGTTGGCTCATTTTGACTGTGACTTTCATTGTAACCGTGACTGTGGTGGGCAACAGCTTGGGGACTGGCATGACCAGGAATAAGTTGTAGCAACTGTTGACCAGGCATTGGGGGCTGTAGGAAGGCAGGAAGAAAAGGAACCAAGTTTCCGGATGACACGGAAACTCCCTGCTGCTGGTGGTGGGGATTCGGTGCTGTAAATCGTGCTGCCCCAAACTGACTGCTTAGTTGATTGTGCAACTCCTGAAGGCAGCTTTCGTGCTGCAGTCTCTGCACGTTCTGGAGGTGTTGTTGCTGTTGAGCACTTGCGTCGATATCGGTCATGCTAACGTAATGGGTCTAAAAGAAACGAAAAGATGTGGGTTCTCTCTGAATATGGACATAGCAAACTAATAAAACTATTCAAGTCGCACAAATTAGCAACTTGTTCAAAAAATTAGATTTGTTAAGAAGGTAAGCCCTACACATTTTCACAAAAGCTTTTTTTACCTGTTTTTCCAAAAAGGTTCCAGAACAGTTAAAAAACATATTTCCGAACATACAAACGAACAAAAGCAAAAATAAAACTGCTTAAAAATTTAAAAAAAAATGTGATAAACTATAAAATATATATTAGCTGTAATAGAAACGATTGAAAAATTTATCGGTAAATCGACCAATCTTTTTTATTTTTAATTTTTGTGACAGCTGCTGTAACATAGGCTTGCCGAAATTGGCTTTCTTTCTTATTTAAAATCAAAGCACTAAAGGAGATACAACTTTGACTGTCCGAAGTGTCCTTTTTTCATTAAACTAATAACATTAAATTAAATATTGGATTGGTACGACTTATACAATATAATTTTCATAAAAAAAGTCTGAAAATTCTTTTTTATCATTTTTGTATTTTAATATTTGGTTCCTGAATAAAAGGTTGGCAGTTATAATAATAATTTTATAAACAAACTAAAAAAAAAATTTGAGTCGGCCATCCTTTAACTAATTTAAACAAGAGATAACGCTATAGTCGGGTGCCCCGACTATCAGATACCCGTTACTCAGGTAAAGGGAGTGCGAGGGAGATGGAGATAGAAACTTTGATCACGCATAACTTTTTACCGAATGGTCCGATTTGAAAAATTTCTTCTACATTTCGATAGGTATTGATAAACACAATAAAACTGCATTTTTACTTTTCCGAAATATTAAAATTTTTAAAATCGTTGATAAGCAATTGTGGGCGTTAAAGGGGGCGTGACACCTGTTTGAAACAAACATGCGCTGCGTAGGAACTCCTAGAATCTGGATGCAAAATGCCAATCTTCTAGCTTTTATAGTTTCCGAGATCTCAGCGTTCATACGGACAGACAGACGGACAGACAGACGGACAGACGGACAGACAGACGGACAGACGGACATGGCTAGATCGACTCGGCTAGTGATCCTGAACAAGAATATATATACTTTATAGGGTCGGAAACGCTTCCTTCTACCTGTTACATACTTTTGCACGAATACAATATACCCTTTTACTCTACGAGTAACGGGTATAAAAAGGTTGGACTCTACGAGGTTTATAAAGTGTTTGGTGATTTGTTTATTACGTTATTTTAAATTTACGTTAATACGGACGGACAGACTGGCAGACAGAGGGATATGGCTTAAGCGACTAAGATATTGATCCTGATCAAGAAAATACACATGTTATCTTTTTAGTCTACGAGTAACGGGTATAAAAATAGTGTCTAAAAGTCATCTAATTCTTAGAATGTAAAGAATTCCAAGAGTTAGTTTTCTCCTGAGACTGAGAGCATAACTTGAGCTAGACGGCGTTTTCAGCTCTTGTTGGGAACAGAAGCGACAGAGAAGATACGCGCAGAGAGAGAAGAGACGTCAGTTCTCGTTAAAAGAGAGAGGTCAGGCACTTTGGCTTGACCTCTTGCCACGATCGAGACTCGCTTCGCAAAATGAAAAATACTGAAATTACTTTATATCCAACTCAGAAGTGATATCGGTCCTGCCACAAGACAGTAAAATTGTTTTAGCTCCATTGTAAGCTGAAAATCGCGAGTCAATGAAATTGGGCAGTTAAGGTAAGGAGAAATGGACAGAAGATCGCCAATTGTCACAAAAGGCGAAAAAATAACGAACGACACCGGATCAGCGTTGCTCTAGAGCAAAAGCCTCGTCCACTCAACACCAGGACATGCTTCAAATTTGTGAGGCTATTCCGTATGTCGAAAAGCTCATTAATCTGGCGGAGGTCTTTGACAACTGGTTACTCGCTGAAATAATTGACAAATGGTGTAATGACCAATTGGAGGTCGATTTACTTTTTATACCCTTGCAGAGGGTATTATAATTTTGGTCAAAAGTGTGCAACGCAATGAAGGAGACATCTCCGACCCTATAAAGTATATATATTCTTGATCAGGATCTCCTCCTGAGTTGATATAAGCATGACCGTCTGTCCGTCTGTCTGTTTCTACGCGAACTAGTCTCTCAGTTTTAAAGATATCGAATTGAAACTTTGCACACACCCTTCTTTCCTTTGCACGCAGTATATGTGTCGGAAAGGCCGGGATCGGCCGACTATATCCTATAGCTGCCATATAACTGAACGATTGGAAATGTCATAACTTTGGTGTTTTTAAAGTTAGGAAGTTTGGATTTTTTATGAGTATTAAGAATGCATCAAATGAATAATTTTGGAGAATATAATTTACAGAGTATTCTGCAAGGGTATATCAACTTCGGCTCCGCCCGAAGTTAGCTTTCCTTTCTTGTTTTTTTTATATTTATTGTTGAACACGCCACAAAAGGATGGACCGTGTTTTCGTGTATTGACAAATTATTTCTAAAGATCCAAAAAGAGCGGGTAGCGGGTGCACTATTCTTGGGCAAATCAGGTGTGGTCATAGCCGGTCATAAGTTAATCAAGATGTGTGGTTATAGAAGTCATAAGAAGTATATATGTAAGTCAGCCGGGTGTCGCCTGCTACTTACTTAATTGAAAAACTCAACGGAACAATATAGAGCCTTCATCGTACAGTGTACTTGAATTGGTAAGACATATACAATTATTTTCCATTACAACAACTCCTCACTCGTTAGAGAGTAAAGCCTAGTTCTCAGATCGACGAAAACTGTTCGTCAGCCATGAGAGAGAGCGGGAGGCAAACAGCTGGCATACACTTTTCGTCAGGCCTTTTTTTCATCTCGGTTCTCAGATCGACGAAAAAATCCCAAAAAATTACATCGCGTTGCCATCCACCTGAAATGAACTTTTGGAGAACCCTAGCAAAATGAATGAAAAAATTGAATCTTTTGGCGTGCGCTCCTCAGTGAATGAAAAAACGCGCAAAACGTGCAGGAATTTACTTGTGAGGACAAAATAACATTATTACGATCTGTGGAGTCCTGCCCAGAATTGTGGGATTTGTCAGATAACAAATACATGCCGCCATGACGACAACCACCTTGCGTCCATTCAACTCCACATTTCCGTTTAATTTAAATTTGGTTAATGTTTGTCAACAAACCCAGCTGATTGACAGTATGACCGTAGTACGCTCACTTCGGATGAAAGCCCAGTACTCAGATCGACAAACGAGTATGCTAGCGTAAAAACTTTAATCTTTCCAGTGTGACCAAAATTTTGAGAGTTCATCGGAATTAAGCGTGCTACGGTCGTACTGTCAGTCAGCTTTGGGTTCACCCAAAGTTCATTTCCGCAGCCTGGCAACGCTATGGAATTTTCTGGTATTTTTTTCGTCGATCTGTGGACCGACGTTAAAAAAAGGTCCGACGAAAAGTGAACGCCAGCTGTTTGCCTCTCGCTCTCTCTCATGACTGGCGTACGGTTTTCGTCGATCTGAAAACTAACTCTGAACTCTCGAAATTTGATCACAGTGGCAAGATCAAAGTTTTTCCTCGTTTGTCGATCCGAGTACTAGGCTTTAAAATGTAAAGAATCCCAAGTGTTAGTTTGTTACTGAGAGCACAACTTGAGCTAATCGGCGTTTTCAGCTCTTGTTGGGAACAGGAGCGAGAGAGAAGATACGTGCAGAGAGAGAAGAGACGTCAGTTCTCGTTAAAAGAGCGGTCAGGCACTTTGGTTTGACCTCTGGCCACGATCGAGACTCGCTAACACCAGAACATGCTTCAAATTTGTGAGTCTATTCCATTTTGTTACTTAAGCCAGTATCCAGATCGACAAACGATTACGCTAGCGTAAAAACTTTAATCTTTCCAGTGTGACCAAAAGTTTGAGAGTTTATCAGATTTAAGCGTGCTACGGTCGTACTGTCAATCAGCTGGGTTTGTTGACAAGCAGTTAAAATTCAAATATCTTATTTGCGGGAAAGAGCCTTTAGAAGATATTATCAAATACCTTGGCAAGACAAGTCTGCCGCTGTACAAAGAAATTAAAAAACAATACAATTTAATTTTAACAGTTGTTTTTTTTAATTTACTGATTATTATTTGCTAATTTAAAGTTCATAGCTGCACTTTTATTGTGTTTTTTCGTACATTCTGGACCTAAAAAACATTTTGCTCTGACAAGAGGCACCCCAGATAGTATTAATGTTATTTTGTCTTCACATGTAAACACCTGCAATCGACTTTTGTGAGTTTTTTGAGTTTTTCCCTCCATTTCTTATAATGTTCAGTGAGAAGCGCACGCCAAAAGATTAAATTTTTTAATCTTTTCGCTAGGGTTCACGTTTCCGCAGACTGGCAACGCTATGGAATTTTCTGGTATTTTTTTCGTCGATCAGGAGACCGACGTGAAAAAAAGGCCCGACGAAAAGTGAACGCCAGCTTTTTGCCTCTCGCTCTCTCTCATGACTGGCGTACAGTTTTCGTCGATCTGGATACTAGGCTTTAGAAAAGTTAAGAAGTCGCATGTAATCGCATGTCGCTGACAACTGGTTACTCGCTGAAATAATTGACGAATTGTGTAATGACCAATTGGAGGACGACTTATTTAGTACCTGTGGGCATGCTTAATCGAAAAATTCAACGGAACGGTAGAGAGCCTTCAGACAAGCTGTATTAAACAGCGTACTTGAATCTGCAATGCACTTAGTTTGGGAGAAGACGCTTGACAAAAAATCATATGCATATGCTCACTATTGGTGGGGTCTGAAAATTAAAAACTATGTAGTTCTTACAGGCGATTTTTCTAAGAGGCACCCCAAAAGATTACATTTTTAAATCTTTTCGCTCGGGCCTGACGAACGTTTATTATATTTTCTTTTCGGGTGTCTGTTGTCAGAGTAGAGTGTTTCTTAAGCCTAGTACCGAACTGTAAATCAGCTGGATTTGTTGACAAACAGAAAACCAAATAAATTTAA